TATGGTGACATCACCCAAAATTAAGGAAATCGGGTGTGATTTATCAGTGAGGGATTTATCAGTGCACCTCCTAATATGTATATAAACCTTGTCACCATATTTTTATTTTGCAGTTCAAGTCAGGTAGAAGAAGATAGGAGAAGTTCTGCATTAACTTAATGAAATGTCTGCAGATCTCTAAGGTACAAACATTTGCATGATGGTAGCATATTTCTCCAAACTTCTCCAACCAAGGTCTCTGCAACCATTTCTTCACTCACTCTTTTCCGGTTGTGGGATGAACTGATATACGAAAATTTGGGTCAATACAGAAATTTGATGATAAAATTGTGGTTATGACCAATAATTGATATTTACCAATTATCTAAGTTAATTATCTATGTTTTTCCTACCTTTCTGCACTTCCTATGTTTCTTCTCCGCTTCAAGATGGAAACCTGTCCAGCTTTGTGTTAATTTGGAGACATTTTGGAAAGGACATGCAGACAGTGCTGACACTGATGTGGGATCAATATCTGAACTGCAGAAGCCTCAGATATTGCTTTCATAAGGCTGAACAGAAGCAACTCACCAGCATGCATATATCCATGGGCAGGTAGACTTTCCTCCGGCTGCTGTTGTAAGGAGTGGCTCTGAGACACGTGGCGATTCCCTGAGCTTTTCCTATGTGACTTGCTGCATGATCTGCATGGACATTTTTCACTCCTGCAAACAGAAAAAAAATCTCAGCAACAAAATCCTACTTTCTGAGAAATCTTGCAAAGTTTGCAAGTGTTTTAATAAACAGAAGCTGTTTGCAGTGACGATGTCTGAGGTTTTTCCTGTCCATCCTTAGACCAGACAGAGGGGTGATCATGACCTTACTAATGGAGTTGCTGCTATTTTTAAACCCACAGTAGACATGAGTGGTCGCTGGAATGAGAAGCTGCTTCACCCTGATGTCACTCCTGTATTCACTAATGAGGAAACAGGAAGACAGCCAACTAAACTGGTGAGTTAAACGATGCAATGATTCTGCCAAAGGGGAAAAGGTCAGAAAAGAGACCAATGCTGCTGTCTGAGGGAAAAAATACTTTTTTTTTTATTTCAGCAACTATGAGACTTGTGTAAGAAAAAAGCAACATAAGAAAGGAGCACTAAGGAAAGTTGATGTTAAAAATGCAGCAACATGTCAAACGTTCAGCATCATTTCTCACCAATACATACCTAAACATTCCAGCAGCAGGTATAATAGTGAAGACTGTGTGTTCTCTGAATACTTCTCAAGCTCCTGTAGGTTCCTGTAGGCTCTGTCATCCAGATCCTTTTCCTGGTCAAACAGAGAGACTCAATGAGTTTCACTTTCAGCACTAAGAAAAAGAAACATCATTTATTAATGAGTATAATCAATTATTAACTAGGGCTGCAAGTAACAATTATTTTAGTAATTGATTACTCTGATAATTTATTGAATATTTGTATATAAAATTGGCACATTCTGTAGATTTTTCATTTAACCATTTAAGCCTTTTTACACAATATTATAAGTACATTAAAAATGCAAAAAAGTAAATAATTTAATTACTTTTTGGAAAAAAAAAACATCTCTGCTCTGCATCCTCTGGGATTTGGAGCTGTAGTTCAAATCTCAGAGGTTATTTGAACTTTTAAAATGCTAGTTAGCAGCCACGGACTGACATCATAACTGTCTGAAATAAAAAAAAAAAAAAATCTGAGTAAAACTCTTTGCAACTGCATAGAATTAAAAACCATAGAAAATAACTATTAAAATATGAAATCTGTCAACAAAAAGAAACAAACAAAAGTCTACAAAAAAGAACTGTAACCATAGGTACACTGACTTTCTTTTATCCAAAATAAAACTGTGGTCTCAGAACTTGGAAGCATTTCTGCTCAGAGTTCTTCATCCTTTGGTTCCCAGAAAAGCCAAAGGACAGGAATTGATTCACTGTACTGACAGTAATTACTCACCACTATCTGAACTAGCACAATGATACCCACTGGACATGCTAAATGCTAATGTTTTAACTTTCTTTCTTACCCTTTCTGTAACAATCCTCATCAGCCATCTTTTTGTAAGACCATGCGTCTTCACTGCCTACAAAGAAAAGTACATATAGAGATTATTGAACCCTAAATGCTTGAAAATGTGTCGCTTCAAAATTTTTTGTAATGACATTTACCTTCCACAGCTCAGTGCTGACTGGCTGGTTCGGAGGGTCATCTCTATAGATCTCCTCTATAGCTGTCTTCCAGAACTGCATTCGCATCAGACCAATGGTCTTCTGGGAAACGGAGTCCTTCACCTAGTGAAGACGGAAAAACAGGGAGTCCAACACTGAACTCATTAGTTTAAAAGAACTTCTGGTATCAGACACTTCTATCTACTTTTCCATACACCTAGCATTAATTTGACAATCAGTTTTGACCTGAATATAAAAAACAATCTCCCTTTCAGCTTTATGGAGGAATACCTGCCTGTGCCAGCTCCACATTAAAGGCTCTCAGAGCCAGAGAGGAGCGCCGCGCCTCCTCTGGGAGGAGGAGACACGACAAGAAGCCCTCATAGTCTCTGGACCTGAGGAGGAGCAAAAAGAGATTTAAGATTCAGGAGGAACTTTAAAGTCAGTGTGAAGCAAATTCTGTTATAACTGCAGCAAGTTACATGAAAAAAAATGGAAGAAAAATAATAACACAAGCAAGAAAAAATTTAATTTATGAAAATAAAATCTTCTAAAAGTGCAAGAATAGAAATTAAGACACAGTTAAAAGACTAAATTAGCAATAAAAGCCCTTTTTAGATTTTAAATAACTTATTACATACAGTTTTAGAAAGTTTCAGGACTTACAAATATATACATATATCACATTGACAAACTACATTGTTTTAATTTATGATTATGTCGATTTAAAAAAAAAAAAAAAAGCAAAAACAAAAAAAACATATATACCCAGCAAAACTTAACCTACTCCTGAACCCTTTTCACATTTTGCCCCACTAGCCTCAAACTTAACAGCAATTTTTGAGATTTTAAGTGACAGAACAACACAACAGAGCTCATGGCTGTGCAGGAAAATATTTAATGGTTTTCATAAAAAGAATAACACAGAACATCGCCCTGAAAACATTATGCATACAGTGACCAATAGTGGTGTGAGCATCATGCAGTGGAGAGGCTGGATCCAAATGCACAACATACATTTAAAAAATAATAATAATGAAAAATAAATAAGTAATTAAATAAATAAATAAAAACACTTTGGGTTTACCACATAAAATCTTATTACGTTACACTAAAAATGGTGGTTCCACGATGATAAAATGAGGAAAAAAAATTAGTATTTCTTTATTTAATTTTAATGGATAATTCGGTAACACTTTATTTGAAGGGGGGTGAATAAAACGGTCATGACACTGTCATAAACATGACATAACACCTGTCATGAACATGAATAAGCCTTCATGAATATTTATGACTGTTGTCATAAAGCGTCACTCGGTAAATTATGACACTTTTAATACAAAGTTGACATTATTCAAAATGTCTTTGATATGACAACTTGACATTGACCAAGAAATCATTACTGATATAAATTTGTTATAAAAGTATTACTGATTTCACTTTAAAAATTAGGTAACTTTATGTTATTAAAGGTAAAGTTTAAACAGTAAAGTGTTNCCGATAATTCTATAGGGCTGCACAGTGGTGCTGTTGTTGGTAGCGCTGTTGCCTTGCAGCAAGAAAGTTGTGGGGGGTTTCTGCATGTTCTCCGTGGACATGCCTGGGTTCTCTCCGGGTACAGTTCAAAAACATGACTGTTAGCTTAACTGGGTAGCGTAAGCCGATTACAAGAGCAAATTCAAACAATCTCAATCTGGAGACAACATCTAAATACTTAAATAAGCACATAATTAGCGCGTTGTCTTATTATTTAGCAGAAATCGAAATGAAGAAATCCATAATTAAGCCCACTAAATTCGGACTAAACTGTCTTGTCATCCCTTTAAAAATAATTACAACATCTAAAAAAAAATCTGCTATTTTAACTGTTTACTGCTGTAAACACAGTTGATGAATGTGTTTAGAAACAACATTCATCATGCCTGTTAGCAGAACTGACCCACCTGACCAGGTTCAGGCAGTATTTCTCACTGTGCTGATTCTCCCCTGCTGTGTTTGTTGACGCTCTCACACTTTGTATTTCAGCCGCTCTTTGAATACAAACCCCGTTCAGTGCTATCTTTCTGGGAATACTGTAAATTAGCGATGTTTTTCTGCTAAATAATCCATGATGAACACTGACGCCGACTGCCATGTTCCCCTTCACCTAGTGTTGCGTTCTCTGTACCTCGTAAATATGATGTTCGAACTTCTAATTTAATTTTGTGTTGATGTCGATGTATTTTATAATCAATAAATATACATTTTTGGGAAGTTTAATTGATTTAATGAATTAATATATAACGTTAAATGATACTCTTTTCCTATTTTTTTTATTTTTATCTAACCCGACAGGATAAAACTTTTTTTCCAATTTACATGAATGGAGCAGGTCCTCTCCGGTGTTACATTAAAACGTTCCGATGATTATCCGGCAGAAATTTACTTGAAATTTGAAAGATTCTTACAGAAAATGTGCTAAAGTTTGCTCTTACTTTTAAAAAAATATATCACGGATTGGTGATATAATTACATAATTTTGTGATATATGCACAACTTTGCAACTAAACAATAAAAACCAAAGACTTGAATAAAGCTTGCTGACACATGACCGGAAATTAGACGATAATAAAGCCACAATAAATTTTTAGATTAATATAATTTTAATTCTCTCTCTTTGATTAAGATATGTTGAGATGTTATTTTATATTCTTAATGTTAGACTCAAATGAGGCAATAATTAACATGCATAAGTGGATGTTTAGATATTTAGTTGTACAAGAAGACGTGATTTGCCAAACCCTTAGTGTGGCTTTTATTTTTGCACAGTTAACGGAAGTGTGCACCACAATTTTTGTCTTTACGTTGTGCTTTACCAGTACGACGATGTGGGCTTCAACAGGAGAGCCTAGTTTGACAGGGTAGTTTTCCGCCATATGGCAGCAGAGTGGGTGAAATTCTGTTATTCGTGGCTGCTGTTGTGGTTCTGCATCCGGGCATCCGAGTCCAGAAACACTCGGTAAGACCGCTGGTGTGTTTTAGAGCCTAAACCGTTAGCCTGTTAGCTGTCGTTAGCAGTGTCCGTTGACAGAACTATGTCTACTTTGACCCTATTGAAGTGACGTGTGCTTACTTTAAATATTTTTGGCAAAGATATTTCTAAATTAACACCGTGTGTTAGTGTAAACACCACCAAACCAAAAAAAGGAAAACTAACCCTAACTTTGCTCAACAGTTGTTTGATAAGTTTCTCGTTTTTAACTCTTATTTGAAATGTTGAATTCACAGTAAATCATTAAGCTCATACACAGCAAGGCATTTAGTCTAACGTGACAAATGTAAAAAACCTTTTAAAAGCTGTCTAAAACAAGCACAATGTTTGGTTTTATTAGGGTTTTATATACATAAAACTACAGATATTACTTGCATGACACAACTTCAAGTCACAAGGTGGGACGTCACGTTTTAAGGAAGCTGACACTTTCTGCCGAAATGTTTTCCTAGCTGCATGTTTTAACCACAAGGTGGTGCTATTCGACCAGATCTAACACGATTCAAATCATAAATTTACACAAGCTTAGATAGTGTCAATAGTACATTTGTTTACTCTATTTTAATTTAATTTTATGTGATATTGAAATTGGTTACATAACTTAGAAGTAGAAAGAAAATGGTTTGCAGAACATTTTATAAATACATAACTAGGAAATGTAGTGAGCATAGGCCCCCTTTTATTTCTGTTACCTCTAAATAAAATCCATTACAACCAATTGCTCATACAGGTAAGTCCACCTGTATGTAAATTAATGTCATTTAATGTATTAATTCAGCAGTTATGTATCTTCCTTAGGGATCTTTTAATGGGAGTAGTTAATAAACATCATCACGAAAAGCAAGGAAGAAAACAAAAATGTCAGAAATATAAAATTTTCAGTATTTTTATTAAGGACTAGATAAAAAAAAGAAAAGAAAAGGGTAAGCACAACTTCAAACTTGCCAAAACATCAGAGAATCTTTTGACACTATCAGTAGTGCATGCTGCAAAAATGGCCTTTTTGGTTTACCAAAAGCCATGTGAGAGACACAGCTAGCATGTGAAACACGACGCTCTGGTCAGATGAGACATAAAGCCTGAACGCAGCATCCATACTGTGAAACAGTAGCAGCATCATGCTATGCGGAAGCTGGTCAGAGTTCAATTCGAATAAAATGTTTTTTTTTCTTATATTATTTTATACGAACCTGAAATGTGATTATTTAGCAAGAAAAAGGATGTAAAGAAGTAGAACCAGATGCCAGAGTTCAAAAATGCCATTTTTAGTTGAAAGTAATGTAATTGGCTGAAACTCTTGATTAAATTAAATGTTAACAAGTAATTAAGAAGAAATAATGTAAATAAAATAACATTTAATTTGTTTATGCAGATCTCAAATTGATCACATATTGATCCTAATAAGGTCTTAAAAGTATGAAATTAAACTTTTAAAAATTCAGAAACCCTGTTAACAGACAAAAACCCTCAAATAGTTATCAATCCAAAACAGAGACAGAATGAATATTTTAGGCTAGAAGCAAAGGGATCGTATCTCCTCTGGAATATAAGTGAGAGCAATACATAAAAAAGAAGTGGACTTCAACTGAAAAAAAGCAATTATTTCAGGGAACTTGTATCAGGAACAAGAAGATGCAACAATTGCAACATTTCCCCCAGAAAACTTGCTAAGATCGGGGGTTGGGGGCAAGGCCAGTCGTTCATCCAGTGGCCTGTAATGTTTTAGAAAAATATTTAAATATATTGAAAATATCACTTGATAATTATGTGTTATTGAAAGATTGGAAGACTTGATCACCAACTATAAATATAAAATAATACTGAGGGAAAAAAATATAGTTCTTTGTGAAAACACATTCCTTCATGTGACGAAGCAGATTTCTGCAGCAACCATTTTACACCTGAAATTCATCTCTGAAAACATAGAATTCATAAGTAGATTCAACATTTATATTATTATTTAAAGCTGGAGGAGTTAGCCCCTTGTCTGATATATTTTACATGGGAAATAAATCCAATTGTCACCTGTTTCTCTCTTTAGCTCTCTTCTAAATAAACCATGCACTTTACAGACGCTCTCTGGACGATGACCTCCTGCAGCCTTACACACAGGGTCACGGCCCCACCCACTCTCACCGCCACGTCCGGGACTGTCAGGCCCTCATTTATGACAACGCCACCTATGAGAGCTATACCTCCCACGGCCGAAGCAGTCAGCCCGTTGCTGAGTCCAAGGTGTTTGTGACGGATGTGGAGAAAGGCACCAGATGGGTTCTTGGTAAGTAAGAGTGGCATAATTAAAAAAAAAAATCCAAAACTAAAACTATTCAACTTATTTTGCTGGATTTCTGTTTCCAGGTCACATGACTGTGGTCCACGACCCGCTGAAGATGGTGTCTGTGTTGGAACCAGGAGGGCCGGGTGGCTGCGAAATGAAGCGCAGGGTGTCTGTGGAGGACACGGCTAAAGCTGCAGGGTGCCTTTACGCCCAAAATGGTGGATTCTTCAAGACAAAGTCAAGCGAGTGTCTGGGGAACGTGGTGAGCAGCGGCAGGCTGGTGCAGGACAGCAAAGGGGTGCAAAACGCCCAGTTTGGAATAAGGAGGGATGGCACCCTGGTGTTTGGGTAAGAAAACAAGAAGTCATTGTTTTTCTTTTAAGGCATTGCCTGAAGCAAGCCAGATAAAACCTTGCGGTTTATTTTAGGATTGATTTATTTTCAGTAAAGGTGAGCTGAAAGTATTAAAACCCTGGTTTTATTAGTGTGCACATATAGTGCATAAACTAAAGCTTTAACTAACCAAGATGATTCACTTTTGTTTTTTGTGCTGTTGTGGGTCTGATGGCTGTCCCGTGTTCAATTAAAAGATTTTTTGTCTCCAGTTTGAACTTTTAGTCTGAGCCTTTAGTTCTTGTCTTTCCAATTCAATTAAAATTAACATTTTGACTGAATAATTCATAAGTCTTTCATTGACAGTCACTCTGATGTGATCGTTGCTGATTATGATGGATGTAAGAGGTGGTTTGGACCTCTTTTCAAATCTTCTGTGATTTGGGGTCAAAGTTCAGGTATTATTTGAGGTTTTGAAATGCTAATCATCTGCTAGCAAGGTTCCCAAACCTTATGGAAGAAAAGGTGCATTATATATTTTTGCTTCATATGTAAGCCCATAAACACCAGACTCCTCTGAACCACTCTGCTCGTCTCCACCTGACTTCATCACATGTACAGGATGATCTCTCCTCATGCTTGTCTCTGCTGATCGGCTCATTTGGCTATGTAAAGCACATCACAACTTCTGCTGAGTGGTTTCCTGTTAGCATGTTCATGTAGCCCACAGTTTAACCTCCGGTCCACTTCAACAGATGCTCAACAACAATCCTCTGGTGACAAGTTCATGTCTGATGACTCAGCACGGCACCAGTTGTCTATGTTGCTAACTTCAACATGGCAGCTTGACACTTTCCAAAAACAACACACTCATTTCTCCGCATGGCTACAGCAGATTTTAGCATAAAATCTGGTGGTTACTGCAGTAGGATGGAGCAAAAATGTATAACTTTGAAGAAAAAACACTGTCATGCTCTCAGACCTCTGTAAACCATCAAGAGGTTTATTTAACTTCTTTGTTTGATAACCCAGGTCACCAATTCCAGGAATTTCTACATGATTCAGCGTTTACTTGTGACAAACAAATAAATGAGTGAAGACTTGGGTTTATGCGCTTTAAGAACCCAAACCGAAATATTATTTAATTAAGAATATAAAATACAGCTTCATCTACAAATCTGGACCATTTCCATTGTGTTTACAGTGCAGATGGGATATTAACTGACATTTACTTAAATTGGCCTTTTTAGATAAATCTGTTAGAAACATTTAACCATTTAAGCTGAGTGAAAATGACAGTAATGTTGGTGTGTTCTGTTCTGGAGGGTGCTAAACTGTGAAAAGAGGCCTTTATATATAAATATATAAATCTTGTCTTGTGATGTGCAGGTATCTGTCACAGAAAGATGTTTTAGATCAGTCCAACCCCTTTGTTCAGCTGGTCAGTGGAGTCATTTGGCTGCTGAGGGACAGGAAGATATACATCAATGAGAGTCTGCAGGCGGAGTGCAGTGAGACCGAGGAGACAGGTACGCTCTGGATCTTCAATAAACTGCTCAATGATTTTGGTTCAGACATCAACTCCTAAGATTTGACACAGTTTAACCCAAACCTAATTGAAGCTTAACTCATGGAATAAAGCCTTTACTAAAGACCATCCAGATTTTCTCTTTCTAAAATCAGGAATGCGATTCTTGATCACACTAGTCACATTTTGGAGAATATCCTCCATCCGTGTCCAGAATCAGATTCCCTGACCTCAGCTCACCCTAAGCAACTGGACGAGCTCCAGTCCTGCAGTAAATAAACACAGCAGTATCTCAGTTTCTCCGCCTCCCAATGTTTGCATAACACACAAACTCATCTGTGACCTGAAATAAACACTTTGGCGCCACAAAAACACAACACTGTCATGTTTGGTTAGCAGTGACAGGAGGGCCTGTGTTCCAGCCATCAGCTTTGTGAGCAGCAGGCAAGTTTAGGAGCTCATGAAACTGATCTGTCTGTGATTTCATCAGAGGAATCTTAGCATCATCATGTGATAGATGGCAAATAATGCATCCATCTTAAGTAAAGACATTGTATGCAGATGTTGTAGTTAAATCTTTATTTTTAAAAAGTTCAATTCCTGCAAGACCAAACAGACCCTCTGCACTTTATAATCATGTTGAACTGCAAGATGAAGTTGCAGAATGAGTTGAGTGGCAGCCACACTGCTGGTTGGAGAAGTTTTATTTTTACAGCGTAGTAAGCTTTTTTTCTCCTTGACATAGAGACCTTTAGGGGCACATCAACCTCTGTGTCCTCTCTTATCCCTGCAGAAACATACAGCAACTGTCCCACCTCCAGAGGCTGGGGCCGTGAGGTTCTTACCAATTTAATCCTTCCTGTGTTTCTACTTCTGAGATCATGGAAATGAATGCAAAATCAACAGATCCTAATGCCTAATTATGAGTTTACAGCAACATTTTCACAAAACATTGTGCTTAAGTGAAGCTAATTCCCACCTGCAGGTGGCATTAATTCTTCTACTGCACGGCTTCCTCATGCCTAACTTGAGGTCAAAAACATGAGTGCAGAAAAAGCATTTGCTGATTTGTTTGGTTAGTTTTGTGAAAAAGGTATTTTAATAAAATCAGTGAATGTTTTTTTTCTTTATGTCAGGGTCATTGAAGTATTTTGTGGATGTGGTGTCGGCCAGAACCGCAGTGGGCCACGACGAAGAGGGAAGACTGATCCTCTTTCAAATTGATGGCCAAACAGAAAAAAGAGGGTAAGAAAAAAATTAGCTGAAAGACGTTTACGATTGATTAGTGTTCTCCTCTGAACATGTAGTCATTTTGAAATACTGATTAAATGGAAGATGGTGTTTGTAATATTTGTAATGTGGATTCATGTTCCCCAAGCACAGTGGTTCCCAAACTTTTTCTTCTGCGCCCCCCCAGTGGTTTCCAAACATTTTCTGCGGGGGGGGGAAGAGACATCCGACTTCTTTGGGGGCAAAATGAATGTACGTAGCTGAAAATAGACACCAACTCCGGTAGCCTACAAGGTACTTGTTAAGCTTAAGGTTCTGTATTGATATTAGCTAGTCATCTTTTAACTAACACTACCTGCATCCAACAGCTTTACTCAACTCAGTCGGTTAGTTTGGAGGGAAAAACTGTGAAAAGTTCTTTGCGTTTTGCTGGTTTGCTGCCGTGATTCTAACACAAACCTACGTAGCTCCGCACAGCAGCAGCAGGTCTCCTTCACAGGTGGAAACCCAGCGCGAGCGTCGTAGCGCTCATGTTGCGTTTGAAGGCGGCTCGGAAAAACAGGTTACAACATGTTAACAACGGATTAAACAGTTTTAACTGCTGATAAAAGTGACAGAGGACACAAATATGGGAAGTGTGGAAGCCTCTACTGTATCAAATTGACATAGTTATAACAGAGAGTTGGCCATTCTAAGGTAAAAACCCAGCGCATGCAGTGTTCATGTTTTTTTTTTTTTCATCCAGACGGCTTCCCGCGCCCCCCCTGCAATGACACGGCGCCCCCCCTAGGGGGCGCGCCCCACAGTTTGGGAACCTCTGCCCAAGCACAACAGTCAGCAGCCTTTACAACTGGCTGCTGCCCTCACTCCTGCAAACTAAGCTGCAAAACCTTCATTGAAAAACCTAATTAGTCGGATTATATAAATGCACGCTATTAAAAACATTTTTGCTTTATAGCAAGAAAGAAACACAATTCAGTGTTATTTTTTATGGTTTTTGAAAAAAGCCATAACAAAGATTGCAGTAAACTCGGCTGAAAAGCCAAATAAACTTTGAGATAATTACTTTAAGTCCTGGCTATTCCATATGAACCTGTTTGTTTGCAGTGGAAAGCCTTGTTGCTATGTGGTAAAAGTCGACTTTGTCCTGAGTCAAAACAAACAAAAACACTTGGAGTCATTATAAGGCTGTTAGTTTAATGAGGTGTTTACTAGGAAGCTGAATATCTCTGACATGAAGTCATTATATGTGAGAGTCAGAGTCAAAATAGGAGGATAATAAATATGGCGTCGATGGTAGTTAAATGCAACAATAAATAATGAGATTATTCAGTAATGATGGTGAATCTCAGTGACAACAACAGAACCTGGAAACTTTAGAGAAAATATTTAGAGACTTCATTAATGAGATGAACTAACACAGCAAAGCCCGTTTGTCTTCAACCCGTTTTTCTGGCAATTCCACCAATCAGTTATATGGATTTGACTTCCCTTCGCCTTGTGAACCCCCTCATCCCTGCTGACAATCTGAAGATTAATGTTCTGCTGTTAATGATTTAGCTAAGAATAGCACAACACTCTGACATGTCTAAACCTCTGACTTCTGTGTTTTTCTTGTCAATATCAGACCCCAGCTGATCAATAAAACGTGTTAAAGTCAGGTTGGACCAAACAGACTGACCTTCTGGTTTCTACCGGCAATAAAAATATATGTTGATTGTTATTGTTCACCTAAGTTAATATTGTTTACATGGGTGGCATGAATAAGCAAAGAGTAGTCATGTGCAGAGTCCTGTGGTTCATTTACTTTATTTTTAAACAATATTATTTCAAATTAACAAAGTATAAGCTGCTTTATTATTGCAAATTTGCACTAATGTCTTAAAATTAAATTAAGTGATGATTTAAAAATAAATTCTAGTGTGTTTCCTGTCTCTATAAATCAGTGAGTACCAAGTAAGAAGCAATAAATCAGCTGAAGCAAACAGTTTTCTCACCACTGAGTTCTGTCATCTCACCAGAATACAATATGACTTTAAATAACACCAAATCTTACAGCTTGGTTCCCTTAACCATACTCAAAATAAACAGAAGAGTCTGTTCACATTTTCACAACATAAAATGTAAATTAACGTGGAGATAAATTATGAACTTTTATCTTAAAGAAGTTGTATGCAAACTTTTGGCCAAAATCGTCGAATCAAAATATATGAAGGCCAAAAAAAGTTTTTTTTTTTTTTTCTTTACCGTCTAAAATATAGGCTAAGCATGTACTATTTTCATTAACCACACAAACAAATGTTTTGTTGGAAAGGGATATGTAAATAATTATACATACAAATGAAAAAGGTTCTTGCATTTTTTTCTAATTTTCTAGGTATAAATTTGAAAAAATAGAACAAAATGAAGTCATTTCTGAGCAGTGACATCAGCATTTAGGCCACTCTTTCTTTGAAAACACATGCTGTATTTAGCCAAGTTTAATAAATGCATTAAAACAGATTTGGGTGCAGCAAAGTCAGCTTTAGAGTAAAAGTCACTGAATAGATGTGCTTCTTGCAGGGGAATGCAGAAAGTTTATCTTTTACCTTGTCTGTGATCATTTTTCCCTGATTAAAAATAAAAAGGCTTCATCTAGATCAAATGTTTATAACCTTTTATTCATTTCCAGCATTTGAAGTGTTTTTTCTGTCCAAACAGGATGAATCTCTGGCAGGTAGCAGAGTTCCTGAAGGACAACGGCGTGGTCAATGCCATTAACTTGGATGGAGGCGGGTCTTCTACCTACGTGGTTAATGGCTCTCTGGCCAGCTACCCCTCTGATCACTGGTGAGCCACTAATCCCTCACATGAAGATTTCTGATATTTCTTCCTTTTCTGATTATTCATTTATTTGTAATCCTTGCCAGCACTTCCGACAGCAGGTGGCGCTGCAGCAGAGAAGTCTCCACTGTTCTGTGTGTTCATCAGCCTCTATGCCAGCCCGCAAACTGCAGCGAACACGGTGAATGCGTTGACGGACGCTGCCGGTGTGAGAAGGGCTGGCGGGGTGCAGCCTGTGACACCCTGGTGTGTCAGCCCCCCGCCTGCGGACCCCACGGTTTCTGTACAGCCAGTGAGCGGACTCCTACCTTTAATGCTGCTGCCAAAGTTTCTTCTTTCTGTTTATGAAACATTTTATTTTTCTGCTGTTTCTCCTGATCTCTGTCTGTGTGTTGCAGGTGGTTGTATCTGCGATGCTGGATGGAGAGGGACAAACTGCAGTGAAGGTAAAGACAGATCCTTTATTAGCACATACCCACTCTGCTTGTAAAATAATTCACACCCTTTGAACATTTTTTTTTATTATTTTTTCACATTAAGCCACAAATGTCAGTGTATTTCACTTTAATTTAATGTGAAACACAAACACAATGTGGACCATTATTGTGAAATGCAATACATTTTAAACATAATCAAGCAATTTTTACAAATGAAAATCTGATGTACTTTTTCACTCAGTCTCATTTAACAAAATACCCTTCAATAAAATCTGGTGAAACCAAAAGTTGCGAATTTGTTCAGTATAAATGCAACTGTTCAGTTTAAGGCCTAATAGGTTGGTTAAAGGTAAATGTAAAGGTAATTTTATTTATATAGCACATTTTCAGCAACAAGGCAATATAAAGTGGTTAGAGAACATTGCGTTACTCTGACCTAAACCTTTTGACCTACATACAAAATGCTGCGTGGTGGAAAACTACAGACCCCACAGTGAAATACTGGTGTTGTTAGCATCTTGCTGCGGGATGCATTTTCTTCAGTAGGGGCACAGAAAACTGGTTGAGGGAAAGTGTTTTCACACTTAAGAACCAGAATTGTAACATTTTGTTACATTTTCAGCCTCTCCCGTTTGCTCTCACACTGCTTTGTGTCCAACATGCTAACTAACTGAAAAACCTGTTCACCCCCTCGAACCACTGAAGGACACAACGTGAAACCCTTTGAATGAGACATGAGCCCAACTTTCCTGTTCACAAAATGTAAATACAAATGGAGTGGCATCAGATTTTAGTGATTGTAGGATTTCTCTCTGTCTTTGGCAAAAGACCACAAGCCATTTCTCCTGCTGGTACTAGACTCTCTAATTTGTTTTGGTTGTATTTACCCAGAATGCCCTGCACTGCAGTCTGCTTCCTGCTTTCGGAGCAGTCCCTGGTTTGCTTGTTGTTCACATATGCATTCAATCTGCAACAAAGTCCACATCAATCGAATCGAGACCGGAGTTTGTAGGCAGACCAGAGTTCGCTTTTTTGTCCACATTCACAGTTCCCCAATCAAAACAAACTTTCTAATTAAATGAACTAGAGTTCGATTCAAGCAGACGAAACAGGGCTGATGTGAATGCAGGAGAATCCTGGAGGAAAACCTGATAGACTTTAAAAAACTTGACACCTTCCAGCAGGACAGCAATGCTAAACATGCAGCCAGAGCTACAGGGGATGGTTTATAGCAAGGTAGATTCATGAATTAAAATGGCCTAGTCAAAGTCCAGACCTAAATCAAGTTGGAAATTTCTGACAGACCTTGAAAATAACATCCCTCAGACACTCTCCATCCATTCTGACTGAGCTTTTACTAAATTTATTCCACTCTGCTCAAAATGTTTGAAAACAGGTAACTCTGGATTTATGAATGGCTCTGTTCTTGAGATAGAAATAATATACATTTGACAAAAAGTGAAAAAAGTTCTAGGAATAATAATATTTTAGAATAGAACTGTAAACCCTACTGTACAAGCATGTCAGTCTCAACTACTCTAAACCTGAAATTTATTATATAAGTAAAACTTTCAGAGAACAGACAGTAAATGCAGACTCTTTCAATAGACACAAATGAGTTTGCAGATAATTATGAGATATAAGTCAGTGTCTCATAAATAAGATGATCTTCAATAATAATAATCTTAAATGAAGCTTGTACCTCAGTGACAACACGCCCTTTACCCACATCATTTCTGAAAGTTGTACATGAACTCCTCCTGACTTGTTTACAGCTAATTTTATATTGTCTTGAAAGATAAGTTTTCAGCTCAGCAGCCATTTGTCAGATAATTTGTTTTTGATTGTTTTGCTCATAGCCAGGAATTAAAATGAGAGTTTAAGCGAGTTAAACTGTGAAACTGATCTACAGTGAAATCAGACGATGGCAGTTTTATCAGCCTAACTTAGAACTTGCAGACTAATTCAGCACATTAAGTTAAGAATTTATTTGCCTGTCACAACAGTAACATCACACTTTGGGATTATTAGTTATACAATACTCAGTACAATAAAATTTTGTGAGGGCAGTAAAGTGGAGGATTTATGTGAGTAGTTAATTTGCTTTTGTAAAGTGTGAAAACAATCTTTCATTGTTTATTTTACTTATTAGTTTTATCTCTGAGTTCTTGTTTGGCGTTGTACGCCAAACAACTTATGTAAAAATACTATTTATGTAAAAAAAAAAAAATTGCCCATACTGTACAGTATTTTTTTTTCTGTTTTTATGTATTTTTATTTGAAAATAAAAATACATAAAGTAGTAGGCAATAAAAGCCTACTTGCTTTTATTGCCTGTCACTTTGCTGCTGTTGCACAGAACTTTCCCCATCTTGGGAAATAAAGGATAAGTTCTATTATATTTCTTCTTTTAATTCTGTTTTTCTTAATGTATGAAGGATTGCATCTGCCACACAATGAAACACATTTCCAGAATTGATGTCAGATGTTCACAAACATAAATAGTCTGAAAGAGAAAAGAGAAACAAAGGGTTTTTCAGGAGTTTTTGTTTTGTTCGCTTGTCTTTTAACGTTATGTTTACCTTATCCATTCTGCAACCACATTATGTTGTGAACATCTGGCTCTGCTTTCTGGGAAATAAATGTATTTAGAAAGTCTCAGGATAAGTAGAAATGCTAAAAAATAAAGTAAAACTCTTTTTCTTTACATGCATTTAGCCTTTTTCTTTTTTCTTTTTTTTTTGAAGCATGCCTCCCAGGTTTCTACGGCGACGGCTGCACCAAAACCTGCTCTTGTTTTAATAACGGTTCCTGTGATCCTGTCAACGGTCGCTGTGTCTGCCCTCCTGGTTTCCATGGTGACACGTGTGAAAAAGGTATTGCTATGTTTCATTTCATATGTAGCTGAGATAAACTCACATAAATACTTTATCCAGGCACCTAGCAGTAGTGATTGGTCAGTCATTAAATGAAAGAAGCAAATAGATTTTGGCTTTTGACCTGTTATGATATTACAGAGATTCAACCTTCTGTCATTCAAGGCTCTTTTTTCAGTAAGCGAGTAAAAAATGACATGCTTAAAAAATGTAATGGCCAAATTGCTAAAGTTGAACCATGGGGTCGAAGTTGTTTCTGCTCTCTAGTGGGAATCACCACAAGTTGTCCAAAGAAGGATAAGCACTGCCTCCATGACGGATTCATGAACTTCTGGTGTTTTCTTTTTTCTTTTTTTAATATCTTCGGGACTTACAGCTGACCTGTGTTTCCATTCCAAAGAAAAAGCTGCTGTAGTTTAAATAGCTAAAAAAAGTTCATTCTGGTTGTGAGAAAAAGTGATCACACACTCAGTGCATCAATTCACCACTGTGTGAAGGAAACATGTTGTTTTACATCATGGACCAGGGAGAAGGCTACTGAAAATGTTTGGCTGCTATTACTTTGAAATACATCGTCTGTAAACATTATTTTGTCATTCTGCAATCATGGTTTAGTTATAGGTGGAAAAATACAACAATCAGACTCAAGTTTTAGTCCGACTTCAGCCTTTCTGGGCGAACAACTCAAGTCTTTTGTGCTCCATCAAGACTTTAATGGTCTTGTTTTCATTCAGAGCTTGGTGACACAATGGCTTTGCCTTTATCACCACTAAATGTAAATTAAAGGATACTTTCTAGCAAAATTCCCCATATTTTAAAACTGTTTTTATTTAATTTATTCATCTGTCCATATTGTGTCTGTAAAGTGGCAGAAGGTAATTTGGTAACGTCTAAGCTTGCTATAATTTGGTTGTATTGATGTTACAGCAGTATTTTTTATTATTCTACATACTCATATTTAAAATGTCTTCATTGAGAGCAAAATGAATCAAAGGCAGATTTCTTGTTCATGTCGCAAGCTTGGCAAATGAAGTAGATTATGATTCAAGAAGTTCGTTTTAGAAGAAAAAATGTAAATGTGATATTTTATCATTTTTATACAACTTTTTGTGTCATTCAAATTCATCATAAAAACCTAACTGTGTCTGTTTTTCAGCGTGTCCTTTGGGTTTCTTCGGTGCATCTTGCGCTCAGGAGTGTCGATGTGACGACTTGTGCCCATGTGACCCGCAGACAGGAAGCTGTAACACCACATTACCAGTAGACACCAATTACACCTTACACAGAGGTACATATCCAGCTTTATTTTGTGCATGGGACTTTGTGGTTTTCTGCATGTAAACACCACTGTCTGTACTTCATCATCTGCTGCTGGAGTGCAAATTTACCTGTTTAGAAAAATCTGGATGAATAACAGAGTAGAAATGAACAAAAATCAGCTAAACTGAAGTTTTTGTTTCTAAAATGCATCCAGACTTTTATGTAGTTTATTTGGATATGCATGTTATTTAAAACTGAAGCTAACATTTCATTTTTAAACAAGAAGACAGAAGCATACACCCCTGAATGAAACAGAAGCTGCTACTTGAGTCATGTTGCGTCTCTGTTGTTATACAGGTCAGTGGCATCATGGGATCACATCTCTTACTACAGAGATAGCGTGACTGTTACATAGGAGATAAAGAACATTATCCTGGAAAAAAAAAACTGAATAGGAAGACAAAATGCTCTGAAGTTGGAAGGAAAAAATACAGTTTTTGATTAATTCAAGATCCAAATATATTTAAACAGATTTAAGACTTTGAAGCCCGCAGGATTTGCTGGCTCTCCCTTTGGCTACATTCACACATATCTGACTTTTTTATAGCCGTTTCAAAGGCCCAATTTCTATCACTTCATCCTCAGTAAAAATCCAATTTATGCCACGTCTATATGTTGAACTAAATTTTATACGTATCTGATTGTTTTCAAAGCATCTGCAGTCTGAAGATGTCATGTTACATTTTATCCAACTTTTACATCATTGTCGTGAAACGTGTCATAATTCTGCACCGGAAGAAGCCAGACGCAGTAAATCCAGACGTAAACAATGACTGGAAATTATAATTATGAAATTATGAAAAACGTCTGTGTCAGTAAAGTGCATCATATCTCAGTCCCACCACTCTTAGTTTCAACTACACATCCAAACAAACTTCCCTAAAGATGCCACAGTCAGTGCTCCAGAAAAGGCCATTTCTATTAGTTACTTTCTTTTTATAAGCTTTTATTTTTCTCTACAGCTGGACGATGCCTGGCCAAGCAGATGTTTACATCCTGGAGACAAGAAGAAGAATCTCACAGAGAGCAGCCTTATCTAACAGAGTAAGGTTTTAAAGGTCAAACCTCTGACTTTTCTTCTCTGCTGTCATTTTTCAGTGAACGTATAATAGAAACATAATGTCCTCTCAAAGACATAACAACTTTAGTGTTTCCACATAAACATAACATTGATCTTTTGTAAAGTTACCAATAACAAAAGTAAACAAATGTGTTCAAACAAGTCTCAGTGGTTATAAAAGATAGTTTTTTTTTTTCAATGTCACTAGAAAATTGTTAGTTAATTTTAAACTGAAACGTTTCTTTGGAAATAAAAACATAAGAGAAAACTTGGGGGACAGTTCTAAAGTCTTCATTCTGCTGTCTGCTCTCGTCATGAGTCCGGTAAAAAGAAGAAGATGAAGATGTTTTGACAAATGAGAAAAGAAAATCACACTGAAAGTCAAACACACTGGAAGTGGTATGATGGTCTTGGACTGTTTTGCTGCTTTTTCATCTGAAAATGGGAATAATGCAGAAGGACAACAGTGTAAAAATAGCATCAGCTTTATCTTTGAATGGCTCAAAATAACAAATTAGAAAATGACCTAATAAAAGTCTGGATTTAAATTGTGAAATTATTTACATCCTGTGGAAAACAGACCAAATCGTGAAATTGAACAAACAACTGAGCAAAGTTTTTCTAGGTAGTTTACACTGAGGTTTACAGTGAGTGAGACTGTGCTGGCTGCTGCAGCTTCCTGTCCATTTGTGTCATGTGACCCAAACACAGTCTGGTGAAAATCTATTCAGAAATTATTTCAGTACAAAATTAGTGTTTTTGGTGCCTTTTCAACATTTCAGTGCCAGGGCTTTTAAAAACATCCTTCCTCTTTTTCAGGTTAAGTTAATTTATTGAGTGCAGTGTCATGAAATTGATGTAATTCCTGCTTTTTTCCCAGGCGATCATGGCTAGTCATCACCCTCGTCCTCACTTGTCTCCTGTTGGCCAGCCTGATCGTCTCATGTCACCAGGTGTGCTGCAGATCAGTGACATCACGCTTCCCTGAGCGAAAGGATTACTCTTATGTACCGCTACAGGACATCAACGGAGCCCCTTCACGCACTGCAGAAAATAGGAACGGGAGCTTGGGAGTGGAGGACTCGGATTCCCAGGAGGAAATCTAGTCTCCGTCACACTCAGGGAGGTCGTAGCTGCCTGGAAGATCGAGGATGAGCAGTGAGAGCACTGTTATTGCACAAAAACACTCACTTCACGTTCTGCCACCAATACGGGAATACTGATGTGAAACACGACAAAGCCCAACAGTTTTACAACATTCCTCTTTAAACATATCTTCAGATTTCCCCAAAGTCTTTTGGCAGAAGTTTTCTCAGGATTTTTGTTTCAAGTTGAGGTGTTTCAACCTGAAAATGAATAGAAAGTGACAAAATCTTGATTTTTGTTTTGTCTTTCAGCTCCAGGTATGATAATGTTAACTCTCTTTAAAACTGAAAGCATGAGCTCTAACCTGTACAGACGGATGCTAACGTCTCGTCGTCTTCCTCAGCTTTCATCACACAAACAGCAAATTACTTCCTTACTAGAGTCTCACCTAGAACAGGATGTACTAATAGTAAAATATAGATACTGTTAATACCTGTATTTTTACTGGCAGTCAGATGTTTACAAGCCTTAAAAATTGTTTCAAGGACTTTAAAGTGTCTTACTAACTTTCTTAAAATACCTGCCATGTTTTTTTTGGGTTTTTTTGTTTTGTTTTTTACAGCTGCAGTTTTTTACAGTAATTTCAGATTATTTTTTATGTTCCTAAGGTATTATATGAATGAATTTAAAATGTTTTTCCAAACTTTTGGCCCTTTATATAGATTGGAAATTACTATACATTTAAGATTACAATGCAAAAAAATGTTTTATAAGTTGGAACTTTTTCCTGTTTGATCTGATAAACTTTTATCTAAAAGACAATAATGTACAAAGCAAACCATATTCAAAGTACAGCCGTAAGTTATTATTATGTACATCAAACAAGTAAAGTATTTTGGTTTTCCTCTCAAATATTTGCTCAGTTTGAACTCAGTGAAATCTGTTCCTGCTAGATGGAAGCTAATTTATGAAGCCAAAGAGTGAAATAAGGTTGCTGTGAACAGAACAGATACTTTGACAACAGCAGATTGTTAAAGTTTACCAAGAACAATCTATTGACACCATGTTGCTCACGCCTGCTACAGATACTATCCTACAGCTTAGGCTGTGTTCAAACAACAGATCTTGATCCTCAATTCAGATTTTTTAGTTTTTTTTTTTTTGGTTCAATCTGATTTTTTAATTGTTTTTGCATGGTTGTTCATACTACTAAATGATGCAACCGCAGTGAAACTGGACGGGACTGCTCCATGTATAAAGCCAAAGTGTCGTAGTGTTTACGAATGTTAATATAATATGAACGTTACTTGGCATGTTGAGTGTTTGCAGGCAAGATTTCTGGGTTCATTTCTTTGCTGGTAGGAAGAAACAAAGTATAGCAAATCTAAGATGATCTTTGCAGATTTCCCTTTGATGCAAGGAAATCAATTTCAACAATCATGTTTGCCTCCAGGAGAGATAATGAAACAAAACCGTAAGTTCTGGCTCTTAAGATGATGTTTCTTAAGATGATGATGTTTCCTGCATTGGTTTTATGCTTTAAACCAATGCAGGAAACATTTTAAACATCAGATAAAATTTGAAATCTAATTTATTTAAAAAGGAACTATTAAACAAATGTCCCAATGTCATAAAAAAGCTGTGGAAAAACATAACAAATGTGAAAATAATAAAGTATTAAGGAAGGGAACAAGGGTAATAATTTTTTACCATCTAATTTTGAACCAGTAATCTTGCATTTTTTTAAATTTTTGCCTGTTAAATTATTTTACACTGAACCAAAGCGACCAACGAGGAAAACAAACTGAGATGATTCATACATATTTATCTTCAGGTTATGTCTCTGTTATTTGTTATATAATTCTGCAGACTGCTGAGCAACACGAGTTAAGAATGTACTGGGTCAGGTTGAGGTCCTGGTGTCACCAGAAACCCCCCATTAATTTTAATATTTAATAAAACATGTCTGAGGTCATTGTGTTGTCGTCTTCAGCTTCCAGACTGCTTCATCTGGAGCTATCTTACACTTTCCAACACCATCATGTTACCATGGCGATTCTCCACTATGCAAACATTTTTTGTGCGCTGAACTTTCACCCACGGGCGACTGCAGCTTTAGGGTTATTTCTGCCAAATGCCATTGCTCTGGAGCATTTATTTAACCTCTGACCTTGACTATGGACTGCACACACAGCACTAGATGTTTATTTTTATGCTAAAAACAAACAAAAAAATATGACATTTAACCTAATTTGGCAAAGAAAATGAAGATAAAGATCTTGTCTTAATTTGTATGTTCCAGTTTAGCTGATTTTTGGTCACAGATCTTTAAAATAGAAAATTTGAACAGTTGGGTTTCAGTCTCTTTCCCCTGACAAAGTTTAAAGCTTAGAAATCCATGCATGACAGAAGCAGTACTGCAGGTATTCTCCCCTGCTGTCTGCCCCACTTCCTGCATGCAAACATCGACCATGAAGTATTAATCTGTCTGAACCGGTCACAGCTCAGCTATGCAGGAGGAGCTGAAGAATGCTGTCACGTTGCACCTTTTCTTCATCACATTTCTATTTATTTCATAAAAACAAGGCATTGTTTTCAGAAAACAACTTCTGTTGTCTTTGTAGATTTCCCTATTTCAGCTTATATTACCTTGTTTTTTTGCCTTATATTTGCTTATACATCAGCTGACATGAAAAAAATCTTGGACATATTCCTCAAAAAGATGTATGGTGCCTTTTAAAGTATTCTCTGCCGCCCTTTGTAGGAATTTATTGGTTCTGTCTCTTTAAAAGCTCGCAGGGCGGCCTTGTGCTGCATCTTAGTTTTATAGACTGGGAGGCAACTTTGTCCTGTTGCCAGCAACGTGTGGCTATGCATCATCATACTGCCGACACCGTGCTTTACTGTTGTCACTGCATTTTGGCTGTGGCACCTCTGGCTAAATTCAAGCCGAACCTTGTTTGTATTAAACTACAAACAAGTAGTTTGTAGATGTATGACATGCAAGATGTATGACATGCAAGATCATTTGTACTCAAAGTTGAATTTATTTGCTTTTGTTAATATTAGTTGGAATTATAGCTATTAAATTTGTTTTGAAAAGCTAAGCAAATCAAAGCAGGTTGTTTAGGTAAAAAAATAAAATTGGTAAAAGTAATATTAAAACAAATAAAGCTAAAAAAAATCTATATGTGGCTCCAACTTTGTTGATTTAGGTTGTAAAACATAGGGAAGAAATATATACTTGATCCCACTCATTTTCCCATAAGTTATCAGTTATTAAATCTGTTATTATATTTTGAATGTCCTCTTCCTCTTTGTCTCATTAAAATAATATATTTGTTGTTCTTAATCGTCTTTTTTTTATTATTAAGAAAAACATTCTTTGAATACTGCTTATTATATAATTAAGTGATCAAGACTCATTGCATGTTTTATTAAGACATGGAGGGCTTTATAACCTATAGTTAGGTACTACTTCAGCATCAGCAGGTGAAAATACAAGATCAGTCAGATTGGATGAGAAGGTGTGGAAAAATGTTCTGTTGGATTTAGAACTGGACTTTGACTAGGCAGTTCTATCAAGAGATGTGCTTTGCTTGCTTTGCCTCTTCTCTGATTAACGCAGTAAAACTATTTGCTTCAAATAACTCATTTCAGCACAGGAAGCAATGTTTCATTCCAAAAATCTGACAGCATTCTGATTCCGGGTCAAAAGAAAAATTGGAAAAATTGTGGATCTAATCAAATAAACACACTTTATTCCAGATCTTTCCCTCTAATTCTAGCTGAAGATTTTATTTTCCAATTTGTATATTGTCCATCATTTTTCTTTTGATTGTAGTTAATGTTGTTTTCCCTCTTTCTCAGTTCTTACTCAGATGGAAATTTTTGGTTTGTCTCAGCCTAAAAAAGCATCCTAAGTGTTTCCTATCGTTTGGACTTTTTTTGCAGAGCTGCTGCTTCTTTATTTTAACCTGAAACGTTTCTTGTCTATTTTCCAATTTAATTGCAGGCAGTTAATAATTTTTCCCCACATTAAGCTTAGCCTTCTCCTGTTTCAACTTGCGGAAACAGCCTGTGTTTTATAACCTTCTATTATTAACTTGCTTTATGAGCCACAGGAAAACAGTTCAGCCAGCAGAGAGCGAACACAGAAAAATGACTGACAGAGCGAGAGCCAATGGCGTCGCTGAATCACCCTGCCCTCTCTGTCTGCTCAGCTGATGCAACTCAAGGAACAGATGACGTTTTCTGCTTTCCCTCCAGACTGTCCAGGCTAAGGTGAAAGGATTTTCCCCTTCATACTGGAGCAAAAATAGATCTGATGAAAAGTTGGAAGTTTTTTATTTTCCCAGAGGTCCAGCTTTTGCACCGTCTGTTTCAGATATCAGTTCATCAAACCCTCTGCCTCTCTCACTGCACATTTTTTCTGGGTGTGCTCTTGCACTTCTGGGGACGTGTGTCAAAGCTTATCGTGACTTCAAGTGACACTCCACCCAAAATCAGTCTGCTATCAAACACTCAACTCCTGGAGTTGTCTTATTTTCCAAAACAATGGTGAACTTTATCTTTATCCAGCTGCTCTGATAAAAACAATGCTGTTTTCCCCTATCAGTACAAATACAGGATAGAAGTAGGTATTTATTTTTTTGCCTCAAAGAAGTGAACAAATTCAAACAAAATGAACATTGTGTGACACAGTTAGTCACAGACAGGGGCAATTGAGGGCTGCACACCGATTAAAAAGCAATTACCGTTTTAACTTTTAAAGAAATTAACCCTAAAACTTTTATAACAAGAACCACTTCAGCAAACAAAATTCTTTCTAAATACCTTCATTATCAAAAACAGTTCAAAACTTCATTCCACCTGTTCAAGTTTAATAATCTTTATTGTCCACATCAGAGCTGTTGTGAAACTGAGCAAGTCTGCATGATAAAACTTAATTTTCAGAAGCTCTGCAGAATTATCGTTTGTCAGTTAAGGTCAGAGGTCATTAAACAACAATAATATTAGGCAAAAATAGTATCCATGAGAGAAATCTAAGGTCAAAACAACACAAAGAGCCATCTCACATTTGCAAAAAAACAGCTTGATAAACCCCAAAACCTTTAGGAAAAGGTTCTGCTGACTGATGAAACAAAAGTGGCCATTTTTGAACATTCTGCATTACATTACATTCAGAACAACATTAGACTGATTTTCAAACATAATGGTATTTTAATGGGCTGTAACTGTTTTGCTTCTTCAAGAAAAGGACATCTTCCTTTCACCAGGACTATTGACCTCCATAAATACAAAATTAGCCTGAAAACCTTACTTTGAGAAGTGTTGCTATCAATTTACTTAGGCATGCCAGTAAAGTTTGAGCACTTTTTCACTCAAAAACACTGGATGCAGATTTTTACATGCAACCCTGAACCTATACAAGGTCTGCTGACAGCTTTTTTAAAAGGTTTTTATTCATTTACAGCTGTGAAAAGCAGAAACGTGATGTAAAAGTCTGTCCTTGAGTTAAATTCAGCTTGCAAAAAGCTTCAACCCCCTGCTCTAATGTCTGTAGCTGAACTGTCAAAGGCCGGTGCATTACTCCCTCCCAACCTGCTACACATTCCTCTCAGTACGCTGACCTGAACTGCAGTGCAAACCTACACTTGAACCTCGGATGACTTGATGTCTCTATAGCAACAGTCAGCTGTTGGAGGAGATAACAGCAGGCTGATGTTTTGTCATAGATATTTTAGGTCCAATACATAACATTAAGCCAAATAATTTAAAATAACTTACAGTAAGTAGCTTAAAAAAACCTGTTGAAAACTAGATTCTAGCTGCAAACCAGAACTCTACAATGAGGAAAATAATTATAGTCTCTGGAAAGAAGTTACCATAATACATTGTATTTACATACTTAGGCTTACATTTTGTTTTGAAGTAAGTCGATCTGTAATTCATTTACCGACTTGACATTGGAAAGCTCCATAAAAGACCCTTCTTGGATCATATCGAGGATTTCAGGAGGTGGCTGTAAATCATTTTTAAGCTCTTCACCAACCATTGACAGCCAAATAAACATTCTCTGGCGCCTTTTTATATCAATAACAAGCAAATGTTACTTTTAGATGACCACCATTAGACAAACATTTTCCCGGCATACCCCCGTGACTCATCAGTGAAGAGTTGTTGATCTCTCTATCTGACCATGGTGAACAGAGTTGTGTAACCCAGACTTTAAACATTAGCCATGTTACACAAGGCGAAGCAGAAGGTGCGCAACTCTGCGTTGTTGTGACGGATGAATGTAAGTTCTGTTATGTAGGTTTTAGTTCTCATGACATAGTTGTTTCTTCTCAGAACACTGATTTACTTACATTTCCTGGCATTGCAATGATCCAAATCTTATAGGAAACCAAGAATTTTATTTTTTTCTTCATGGGACATTTGTTGTCAATGAGGAGCAAGGGTTTCCACACGTGATCAGACGTTGCTTATTTTATTATTTTATTAGATAATAATCGAAAAGAAACACTTAGTAGGGAACAAACAGTTCGTAAAAGTACATGAATCATTGCCCAATCTCTGACATTTTCACAATGTTATCTTCTGTTTAAGAATATCTCTCAAGTTTGTTATCCCTACAAACCTAAATAAGCAAACTTTCTTTAAAGTTAGCTGGAGAGGTGGAAAACAAAAGCAATAATTTTATGTTTGGGTTCATGGGAAATTTGTTGTCTCGATGAGGAGCAAAGGTTTCCACACATGGTCAGATGTTGCTTATTTCATTATATCATAATAGAAAAGAAACACTTATCAGGGAACAAACAGATCATAAACGTGCATGAGTCATTGCCCACTCTTTGACATTTCTGCCTTTAATGTTGTGTCTTCTGTTTAAGGTTGTTATCTCTGAAAAATGAGGAAAGTTACCTGGACTTTAAAGAAGAGTGATGTACAATTTCACTCCTTGGGAACTAT